GTTTTTTTATACTAAATATCTATTTATGTGACAATTATCTCATGAATGGTAAGTCATGTGCGAAGTCATGGCGCGTGGGAAGCGTTGCCATCACTTGAGTCGCAGCACATCCTTATCGGTCATGTAATCGATTTGTCGCCAATCAGTGACCGCCGTGTCGTTGACATAGAGGTCCACGTCTTGTGGCCTCACAAACAGTCTTGAGGTGAGCGCCCGCTTCAAGTCGTCCAAAGTGAGCACTTCTGGTGGGATTGGGTACCAGATGTCACGCATGTTTGGCACCAGACCGAGGAAGGAGATACGAATCGGTTTGGACGCCATCGATGGCTATACCACTCGTGCGTTTGTGTCAGATATCGAGACCTGTTTTGGTGATTATCACTGATTTTGGGCACAAACTGTCAATTCATTTGTTTGTACACATAAGCGCTGCTCATAGATTACGTTACGACTATTACTGTTAAGCAGTATATGGCCCCCTATAGTGTCAGTAATTTTTAAAATAATTAATTAATGTTTAACACAATACTTGATTGTTGTAGAAATTATCCGGCTATTTGCGTAAATAGCGAGGTAAGTTTTATGAAATTAATTATACCCTGATAATTGTCACTACAGTTATATCCAGTGATAATTGTCCAGTGCAATGCCTTATCACAAACAACGTGCGCTTAGGATTTGATTACAGTACCGGTAGTGAAAAAAACTTAATTCAATAGTTTTTTAAATAACATAAATGGTTTGACTGTATTTACAAATAGTGTACCGACTCTGTATAGTGTACAACAAATATAATAGACTATTATGTAATGAAAAAACATTTTGCGTGAATATAATAATAAATATGTTGCATAAAAAAGACAAAAACTAATTACAAACATGTATTGAAACTTAATAATCACAACAAAACTGAATGAAAACCAATTATTAACTCCAAAACTTATACCCAAAACCAATGCACTTAATAAACCAAATCAATGTACGAGTTGTAAACGCCTGTCCCCGTGACCACTCGGTGCTTACGGTTCCCACCAATCGAGCCGCTCGGCCACTAATATGGCGTTGTCGGGCACCTCCATGGCCGCCATCGCACACTCATAACCCTCGCACCGGTACGGCTTGTGGTGACTCTGTATGGCCTTCCAGTGGGGCAACAGCTCGTCGCACAGACAGCACACCCACTGACCCCGGAGTCGAGGGGATGGCTGGTAGAGGCGTATCATTTTCGGGGGTTTCGGTGTCTCCACTTCTGCTGCGGCGCCGGTAGTCTCGTTGGTATCGGTCGACGCCTCCCCGTCCGGCTGTCTATGAAAATAAAAACTAAAATTAAGATTTGGTTTGAATATTGTTTTATGACTTCCAATCAGTACTTAGCACTCGATGTCTGTTCAATAGGACGGGTAGTGGTAGTGGTTGTAGTGGTGGTGCCCGTAATCATCAACTTATACGCCAACGACTTATCCAAACATTCATTGATTTTACTGATGATTAAAATAAATAGGGAATCAATGGCTGTCTTAAGACATTCAATCATTTGATTTTTTAAGGCAATCAATGGTTGTTTTACTGGATCTTATCCTTGAGTTCTTGTAACCTCCTGTTGGCGAACGACTTGTTCGCTTCGGATGTCGACGTCCTGGCGATTGTGGTGAAGGCTTTGTTCAGCGACTGGATTGACTCGTTTAGCACACGATTGTCCTCTATTTGCCTGCAATCATGGCATGAGTTAACCATTCAATTGATTACAATCTGAAGACATTTACTGCTCTAAGAGATGTCTCTGTTCTTTGGGTGATATATCGTCGGACATCGTCTCCAACGCGTTGGTCAACGTCACGATCGACTCGTTGAGGATCTGCTCGTCGGCCGCAAACTCTCTGAGAGATTAGTCACCAAACGATTGGTACCACAAAACACATCCCAAAACATCTTAAGACATACTTCTCTAACAGTTGTCTCTCAACCGCTTCACTGTCATCAGCGATGGCTGTCGTCGTGTCATCTGTTGATACCTTGGACTTCGACGCCTCGACAGCCGTTCCCTTCTTAGTCAACGATCTCTTGGCTTTCAATGGTTTTACTGGCGATGACTTCGATGTCTTCTGAGGCGATCGCCTCGCAGTCAACGCCTTAACGCTCGACACCTTCGCCGGCGATATCTTAGCCGCCGATGACTTCACGACTTTCATAGCCATCGTCTTGTCTTTGGACGCCATGTATGTCGACCTCTGAGTCCACTGTTTGGGTGCCGTATGTCCGGCCAGTGGTGGAAACCGTAACTCCAAGAAGTCTTTGTCGCGTATGAGTCGCGCCGTCTGTCTCTCGCCCACCAGAATGTCCTCCAAATAGATGTCGAAGTCGTGGACTCGGGAACTGATTCGCAACTCTTCGCGCATCACTCGCTTCACGTCCGCCACGGACTTCGCGGTCGATGTCTCGCGACAGTCATCGCACGTGTCGTCCAAAGCCATCCAATAGAGTCGGCCCTCGAATACCAGAAGTCTTAAGCGTTTCAAATGGTTGGCCATTAACGCGATGATTGTCACCCAAACAGGTGTCCGACTCTTGTGGTGGTAATCGTGGCGACAATTGCGGTGTTTGTGTCGTACAGTATTGACAGTGACTGCCAATCAACTGTTCATATATTACGTGACGCGCATGCGATCTATGTTCGAAACCCCCTGTATTTCCACTAATAGACTGTCTATTATAGGCAATGCATACAAACCGTTAGACCCCTCGACATAACGTAACGTAATCTGTGAACGAGTGCTTTGTTTACACCATTGAAAGCACTGAATGAATGGTTTCGTGTCCGCAGAGACCTATCAATAGAGACAATCGGATCAAGTCTTGAGCTGTGGATCAGTTGTCGCCACCAACTCGTGGACTCACCGGAAGAATGGCGTCAACGCCACGGATCTGTGTTTTGGTGACAATACGGACACTACGTCCAGAAGCGGACGACTTTTGGCTCCAAATACCTCTGGAAGTGCTGACCACCGGTCACCTCAAGAAACACGTGTTGGCCATCACTGGCATCGGTGGTCACTATCACCGCGATGTCGACCTATGGGTGTCCGGCGGTTACGTCACCGATGATGACATACCGGTGCTGTCAGTCATACAGAACAGGGATTTCATTGAGTTGTCGGCCAAACAGTGGACCCGTTCTCGGATTAGCTCACAGACAGTACCACTCGTTTGTGGCGGCGATTGTCAACCGCAACGGTTTGTATCATATCGTGACTCAAGTGGTGGTAATGCAGTGACACTAATGTCTTGATTGTTGTCCACAGATATTGTCTGCCAATGAATCCGAGTAACGGCTCGACGTATGGGA